AATTTAGAGAATAGTGCAACTATGAAATATTCAGCTGATCTCGTTAAAATTCATTTTGTACCCTTAGATGCTACAATTCAAGAACTAGCTGAAAAGTGTAGTAGTCGTGCTTCAAATTCAGGCAGTTACTCTGAATTTGCTCCCTTTATAAAAGCTTTGCAAAGTTACGGTTATCCATTTGACTCTAATCAGTTAGTTTTAGGTTTTCTTTTGGACCCCCTAACAGATTCAAAATCGGAACAGGAAGTTTGCGAAATGAACTCTATCTTAACCACTCCACACTTTAAATTAGGTCTTTATTCCTGCTCAACGATATTTTCTTGGCCTAGTAATATTCAAATTTACGAGCATTTATCCAAATTATCAGCTGCTGAATTAGCTGTTGAGCATAACTACGACTATAAGACATATGATTTGGGAGAGCTTTGGGATTTCAGTTTATCTAAACTTTATCATTTAATGCTAAGCTTATTCAATTTAAAGTCTAAATCCGAGTTAGAAGAAGGATTTAATGAAGAGGATCTGATACTAAAAGCATTTATTCAGAAACCATTTGATACAAATGCTAAAAAATTAACTCCTAGCGCTTATTTGGGCAGTTTAGTTTTTGATAGATATAAGAGTATAGAGTTTGCTTATCACCCCGTAGCTAGAGCTTATGAAGAATACTTAAATCCTGACTATCATTTAACCGCTAATCCTAGTATTTATCTCGCTGATAATGGATTAATAATTGTGTCAAGCGCTAAACTCACAGCTATTCGGGCTTTAGTTGGTGGTCATGAATATTATTTGCCCTGCAAGCATACACCCATGAAGCCTTTGCGTATTAGCTCTAGATTATGGACAACTCTTAAAGTTAAAATGCCTATAAGATTATATATTCATACAATTTCAGGATCTTGTACTCTAATAGATAATATAGAAACTTTACCCACTACACTTCTAGTAGATTTTAGTAATAATATTCGTTATTATCGCTCACCCTCTCCATTAGTTAAGGAATCTCTTGAAGATGTAAATCATTTTGATTTTAAATTTTATAGTATGAAGGCTGATTTTGTTAGAATAACAATTTT